GTGATGGTAAGTTAAAAAATTTTGATGATATGTTTATTGTCTATTCATACTTTCATCCATGCAATTTGATAGTTATTCTTTTACCTTCTTGATATATATATATTTTTTTGAAATTATAGAAATTGGCTGTTGATATAAATGAGTATGCATGTAAAAGTTTGAGATGGAACCACCATGAAACAAAGGTAAAATGTTAAATTTGATGCTCTCTGTAGTCTTTTTTAGGTGTCCTAATTTGATTTTTGCATGTAGTTTGACTTATGATTTTATGTAGCAAATGAATGGTAATTGAATGTTTTTTCCTATCAAGTTAAGCTACTTAACAAGAACTACATATTGAAAGAATTTTTTCAATTGCCATTAATTTTCTATAGAAAACCTTTTTTTTTAATTTTATTATTATTATTTTTTGGAGAATGACAAGTATTATTATTCCATAAACAAACTCTCAACACTGTACATAATATATTAAAGCATTAAATTAAACTACATACAAAAGTCAAATTAAGACAACTTAAAAGAGACTGGATGGATTATATTTTTTATAATTTAAGTGTTTCACATTTCTTTTTATTGGTAATTAGGTCAGTAATGAAGCAATAGAAGATTTTTTATCTAAACTGAAGGAAGGGGAAAAGTTATGTGAAAAATATGTTGATTGCAATTCAGATGACGATGAAGATAATGAGGAAGAGGATTCAACAGTTGAAAACAAAGAATTAATGGATGATGATCAAGGTTCCATCAATTCATCTGAAGAATTTGAAGTTGAGAGGCTTTTAAAAGTCTATTATGGTGATCCTAACCAGGTGAAAAAAATGGGATTATACTTCAAAGTATTTTTTAATACTAATGGGTAACATATTTGGGGATTAATATACTTAATGTTTTTTCTTTTTCATATTGATAATGAACTTAGTTTCTTTTTTTTTTTTCTTCCTGTGGTTTGTTTCACTTTTTATTCTTCTACATGAGACAATATAGGTCCATTGGAAGGGCTATGATCCAAGTTTTGATACATGAGAGCCTATTGAGGGCCTGAGGTATCTTTTTATTACATTTTTTTCTTCAAAATTTTTTTGCAGTGCTTATCAAAGATTATCTTGCATTACTAAGTTGGTCTTTTCTTTAGTAATTGTAAGGGAAAAGTGAAGGATTTCGTAAGGGAAGGATATAAGTCAAAGTTATTGCCTTTGCCTGTGAGTTGAAGTCTTAGGACCATGTACACATGGCTTGCCTTTTACATTGCTTTTTTACTTAGTTGTTTATGTATCTTTTTTTTTTTTTAATCTTTAAAGGGGAATGTTGATTTTATATGTGGAGGCCCCCCATGTTAAGGTATAAGTGCATTCAATCGCTATCAGAATGAAAATGCACCTTTAAATGATGTAAAAAACTGTCAGTTGAAAGTATTCATGGACATAGTTGAACAATTGAAACCAAAACATGTTCTAATGGAAAAATGTCGTGAACATCTTAAAGTTTGCTGATGGCTTTTTGGGACATTATGCTATAGCTCGCCTCATCTCCATGAATTGTCAATCTAGAGTAGGTATGATGGCTGTAGGATCTTATGGCGTGCCACAATTTCACATGAGGGTTTTCTTTTGGCGTGCCCATCATTCAGAGGCAAGTTAAGCTAGATAGTTTAATACCATGCTATTATGAAATGTGATTAGTTGAGCTAAGGTCTGGATGCCATATTATCTAAAAAAAATTATTTCTTTTTTGTTTTCTAAGGTTACCTCAATATCCATTTCCAACTCATGAGGTTGCTGCAAAGGGAGTTGTTCCAAATGAGTTCAAGGTACGTGCATTGCTCGCATTGTGCAAATTGGTCTTTATATCTACTTAAATATTATAATATTTTTTCTCCCCCATTGATTCAGGAAATTAATGTCGCATGTGAAAAGGAAAATTCTTCTAAGCTAGAAAGAGCCCTTACACTTGGTGATGCAATATCAGATCTCCCACTAGTATGTGTTTCTTTAACTAGAAATTTAATGGATTGTGACAAGTTATAAATTTCTTCAACTTTGATTGAAATTATCTGCTTCATCCTAGGTTGGCAATTGTGAGGGCCAAGATAAGAGGGAATATGGGATAGTTTCCTAGACGATGTTCCAAAAATACATCAAAGTCAAACGAGGTGGTGAGCTTTCATTAACAGAACAATATGACATGGACAGACAGCATTCCATTTACCTAATACCAATACACAATGATGACTTTGGCATACAAATCCTTTTTTAAATAATTTGCTTGTTGCTAAATTAGTGCAGTTTCTTTACCAAAGAAAAAATAATTAATACAGTTTCATTTTAAGTATCTTTCTTTTAAGTGAAACTAACTTTTAATTAAATACAAAACGTGGTATACAGAGACTCAAACATGTACTTAGCATGCACTCATTAAATTTTCTTGTCTTGAACTATCTTTTGTACTGGTTCTAGATACGATATTACTAGAAAAATCATGTATTTATCTAGCATTTATTTAATTCATTAATTGTACATTAGTGTTTGTAATATATGCATTTTGAATCATATAAATGATTGCACTGTGTCATTTGCATTCCTTGAATCTTAGAAAAAAGATGCGTGCTTTGCAGAAATGATAACTTATATGGCTGGTTCTCAAAAGGCATCTTTACCTCGAATGTTGTATGATCACCAACCTATGAAATTGAACAATGATGATTATGAGCGGGTTCTCTGAATCCAAAAGAAGAAGGTAAGTTTGCTTTCACATTTACGGTTTGTGGGATTGAAATCCTTAATTCTCACTAATTAAACTTTTGTTTTCTAGGGTGCAAATTTCAAGGACTTACTTGGTGTAGTGGCTTGTCCTGACAATAGAGTAGAATGGGATAAATCAAGGTACAGAGTTATACTTAAATTTGGGAAGACATTGGTATGATTATATTGTTCATATCTATGTTCATTTTGTTTACTAAAATTTCTTTTGTCTAAATTTTCAATTATTTTTGTAGGTACTTGATTATGCCATGAAATTTGTAAAAAGGAGATCAACCAAGTAAGTGATGAGTTTCTCCTAGTTTTTCATTATAACTCTTCCATTATATATTTTTTAAAAGATTCTAATATGAGAGCTAGAATTTAGGCCTTTTGGTCGATTCTGGATCGATGAAATTGTTGGCACTATTGTGACAAGGGCAGAACCCCACAATCAGGTTTTTGTTTATGTTTGCTAGGATTATGGGGTGTATGTTAGTCAAAATACTCGTACTTTAAAATCAAATTATTCAAGCAGGCTCTTCTTCATCCATCACAAGATCGGATGCTCACAATTTGAGAAAATGCAAGATTGGTAGGGTTCCCTAACTGCTACAGGCTTTTCTGCTACAGGGTTCTTCATCCATCACTTTTCTGTCAAAAGATCGATATAGTAAAATAATTACTCCCAGAAATGAAATAATTTTTCTCAAATATGTTGGAGGATGTAGGGCATATGGGTTGAAATGATCACTCCCTAGAAATGAAATAGATATTATGAAATATGCTAGGGGGGCATATATGGTTATAAATAGACTTGGCAATTTTTTATCCAATTTGTTAACCCATCCATTACATGCTCATTTAAAATGGGTTAAAATTAGATATTCATGACTCGTGATTTAGTAATGACTTGTTAAGAGAACTTGATGGATTATGGATCAATAATGGGTTGATCCATTGAGTTAATGGGTTTAACTCGTTCGAAAATTTAAAATTTTTTAATTTATTATTTATTTTATTTTCCAATTCCTAGTCCCACCTAAACCTCTAATAATTGACTAATTCTCCTAAATTGGCTAATTGATTCTCTTAGCTCATCAACTTCTAGAAACAAAAATAATTTCACTCCACTTGTGATGTACCTCCCGACCTTTCCTATTATTACTTGCTTTAATACTTTCTAAGATTCTAACTCTTCAAAGTTTAAACTCTTCTCATATTCTTCAATCTCCATAGTTTATACAACCTTTGACTTTCAAGCTTCAACTTGACATTTTTTCTCTAGTCTTTAACATTATCTTATACTCAAATCTCAATCTCATCAAGTCACTATCATGTCAACTTAGCCTTTTCTTTCTTTTTTTTTCGAGTCTGACAAGTGCTCTTTTTATCACAAACTTTTCTCTTTAAAGCCTTCAAGGAAAGTTGTTTACTTATTTATGCTTTTTAGTTTTCTTTCCATTCCAAGTAAAATTTCTAATTGAGCTTCTCCTTTGCTTACTCTAATGCATTCAATTGATTGATTCTTTGAAAGAAATTACCAAAACAAATATGTTCTAATGGGGTTTGTGTTTTTTGGTTGTCATGCTACTACTATATATTTTTTTTTTTTTTGCTATCAAGATTTATAAGTGTGTTGTTTTCTCAAATTTGATGAGTGTTGTTTTTTGAAGGAAAGTGAAGAATGTGACTTTGAGGAACTATAAATATATTTTACTAAGGAACTATAAATATATTTTATTAAATTAATAGGAAAAAAATCTTTTATGAGATGTTGAATCTCATTTTTAAATATTTTGAATAATTTTCTTTGGATAATAATAGATACAAATTACAAAAAAAAAAATTCAATCGAGTCAACCTACGGGTTACTTGTGACTTGTAATGGGTGGGTTAGAGTAGTTGTTTATTGGTCGAGAATCCATTTTAACCTAACCCATTTTGACATGTGACTTGTTCCAACTCGACCTTAACCTAGCTCAACCCACCCGTTTGCTAAGTCTAGTTATAAATTATTTGAGTTTTGAGTAGTTCAATACTCATACTTGAGCTTGGAGCTATAGTAATGAACTTGAGTTTAGTTTAAGCTCTCATCTAGGTCAAAAGTGTTGAGCCCGAGCTTCAAAGTATTAATAGCTTGTAAGCTTTCAAAAAAAATTATAACTACATTCAAGTTCAAGTTTCTTGCAATGTTTGAAAATTGAATTTGAGTTTTACATTTATTGTCATTCAAGTTCAACTCGAGTTGAATTTAACTTGAGCTTGAATTCAATGAGAATAACTCACCACATTTATAGTAGTTCTCGGAATATGAGATAAATGTAAAAACAAATCTTTAGGTTAGATTTGGTAGAAATAAAGACATAACTTTTTAAAAAAATTTTA